AAACAAAACAAAACAATGAGTGCATTATCTCTAAGCATGGCAAATGTTTTTTCTTTTCTTTTTTTTTAAGAGGGGTGATCACAGGGAGGCCCTCCAAGGTGCAGCAGGGACAGCTTGGAGGGACAACTCATAGCCGCCCCACTCCCAAGAACAAAAAGTTTTAAAAGCAAAGGCTGCCATGAGCTGGAAACAGCTCTTGGGAGCAATGGGGGATGGCGGGAGACTTTGCCAACCAGCCCCAGATGCTGCTTGGACATCTTTGGCAACGCAAGCAGGCAGGGGGCTGCTTGCCGAGTACAGCACAGCTTCTTTGCCACTCTTGGCGAGTGGCTCTGCAGTGGTCTGGCTTGCCCCAGGATGGACCACGGCTGGGTTTGGATGTCAGCCTGACCACTTGACAAACCCTGGGTTGTCAGGGTGGCTTGTGAGCCAAACCCATCACAGGTTAATATGACATGCTAACCCATGGCCTGCTTCATGTATCATGTCAACCCAGCCATACTGTTCAGAAGGAAGTAGACAGCGCATGGGGGAGAGAAGAAGCTCTTCTTCGGGAGCCCTCTTGGAAGGAAATGAGGAGGGTAGTTACTTGGAGAAGGGCCTTTTCAGTGGTGGCGCCCCGACTGTGGAATACTCTCCTCAGGGAGGTTCACCTGGTGCCGTCGCGCTATTCTTTTTGGTTTCAGGTGATGACCTTTTTATTATGCCAGTATTTTAACAATTAATTGTTTTTATCCTGTTTTTATTACTATTTAGATGCAGTGTGCTGTGTATTGTTTCTTATGGTTTTGTTTTTGTTTCCTTCTTTGTAAGCCATCCAGAGACATTTTTTTAGGAATGGACAGCATAGAAAAAATTTAAATAAATAAATGAGAAATCCAGCATTGCTATCCAGTCTCCTGGAGTGTTGAATTTTGCAGAGGAATTCGTTCAGGTGGAAGCAAAGAACGTGGTGGTAGGAGCAGAGCTTGCCGGGAGGAAGGAGTGCATAATTATGTTTGCACACACTCTGAGGAAGTAAAGGGGGGCTCTTGAGGTGAGCAGTTTTTCTGATCAAGCAAACAACTTGAAAGGGAAGTGAAAACCACTCCCGGTGCCGTTCTGCAAGCAACCTGATAGCTTGCCGAAGCAGGAGGCCCTGCTGCACACGGTTCCCTGGGAAAGTGCTGAGCCGCAGTGCATGAAAACACTGCTGTGATGACTACTGTTCGCCCCGTTGGCGCACTCCATGCCAATGGCTGTTTTGGGTTTCCAGACAAAGAATATTCATCCATGTAGTTCACTTGGTCCCTCACAATTTAGGTCCTGTACTTCATGCCTGTGGAAGCCTCCTGCTACACTGAACTAGGAAAGTCTGCATAAAGTTTAGATCCACAAATTCCCAGTCTGCTAACCCAGACCCACTGATAGCAGTTGGAGGAGAACTGACTATGGGAACACCAGGGTTGGCCTGTGTAGAGGACTTGTTTACTCAGAAGTAAAGTCCTCTGTGACCAATTAGGCTTACTTCCCACATACATGGGTTTAGAAGCCTTACAGAGTATAATTGTCCACAATTTGATTTAACTTTTGAGAACTTGTTCCATATCAGGAAGGAAGGAAAGAAGGAAGGACACAACCTTCTATTTTCATCTATAAAGCAATTTTAGAGGGGTTTAACTGCACTGAGAAATTAGCAAGGTGTAGTTGATTCAGCTTTCTCCAATGTACCAACTGATCCGCATATTCAGCAAATAATATGCATAATATGGAAACAAGGTTGCTCAGATTTGGGGAACTGGTTTATGACTTCTCTAGGCTGGTGGTAGTTGGGAACACTCTGGAGAAACCACTGTAAGCACTGAGGCTGTGGCCTAAATCAGCCTTCAGCAGACTTGCCCTCCAGAAGTGTTGGACTCCAAATCCCATAATTCCCTGCCAACATGTCTTTTGGTGTGGGAATCATGGGATCAGCAACACAAAACATCCAGAGGATGCCAGGCTGGAAAAGGCTGATCTTAAGCAGGGTATATTTATCTATGTTGTAAGCCGCCCCGAGGCTTCGGCGAATGGGGCGGCATAAAAATGTTTTAATAAATAAATAAATAAAATAAATATTTGTCTTATTCATAGAGACAGTTTGCCTTTCCTGATGTAAACCAGAAATCCTTTAATAATATCATATTATTAATGTTCTACCAAATGTTAAGAGACATCATGTATTAATTGTAAATATACCATATTTTTAATATTTTTATATTAGATGGAAACCCTTCTTAAAGATGCATTACTCAGAATTTCTCATAGCCATTAGAATAAATAAGAGTAGATTTCACAGCTTGCATTCAATAACATGCAAATCACATTGGGTGTTAGGCTGGAGTCAGTTAATAATTTAAAAATAATTCTGTCCAATGGTAAGATCAATATAATGTTCCAAAATACATGTTTGGGCAAGTGTGTGATCTCAGTTTACAAGAGATCACAACAATTCTAGTTCAAATTTAGACTAAAAGCAAACATATTAAATGAAACCAATCTGAGAAGGCCTGTTGGAAGAGAGACATCATTAACTCCTTCTTGAAGGTAGCAATCTGGGTTATTTGGTGCCCCTCTCCTGACTGCCCATTCCATACTTTAGGGGCAACCACTGAAAAAGTCCTCTGGGACATGGGCATTAATCTTAGCGAAGCAAACTTCAGAAGATTATCCCCAGAGAATCTTCCTGGCAAGGTGGAATATATGGGTAAAATCACTCTGGAAGGTATTTTGGACCCAAGCCATGAAGGGCTTTTAAGGTTATTACCAACTCCTCGTTCTGTACTCAGAAACAAACTGGCAGACAGTGCAGATTCTTCAATATCAGTGATATGTGATCTGCCCATGATGTCCCAGAGACCAGCCAGGCTGCCATATTTTGCATCAATGGCAGTTTCCAGAGTAGGCACAAGGGTAGCCCTATATAGAGCACATTGCAGAAATCGAGCTTAGAAGTTACCAGCCGGTCCTTCCATTCACAACAGAGCTGCTGAAGTGATAAGCCATCATTCCTGTACCATTAATCCCACATGTCCTCTGGTACTGACCTTATTACATCCAGTCAACATAAGATGGCACCTTAAGACTGAAGTGCTAGTGTGGTAGCCCACATACTCCGTCAAGAAATCATAAACAACCAGTTCACAAATTACTGAAGGCAAGGGCATGATTGGGAGAAAAAGGAGAAGATCCTTGTGCCACAGAAAGATCTGTTTATGAACTGTCCTATAAAAGCATTTTTGGTTGCCAGCCATAAGGCATCCTTCATTCAAATCATTTTTATAGAGAATCAGAATGTGTTGCCCATCACTTAACTTCCATGGTGAAGTTCTGTCTTTCTTCAGACATCATTTGTGGCATTGCAGCACCAGCCTATCCTGTGTGGGCCTGCTGAGCACTATGGAGCACTCTGCTGAGCGTGGGGTACTAGCATTTTGATTAATGGCCTTTACTTTGAATTGTTTATTTTAAAATAGTTGCTTCCCATTCATTCTCCATGACAGCAGCATTCTTGAATTTTTGAGGTGTCTTCCTTTTGAGGGTGTCAATAACTATTAACTAAATCATAAAAATCTTTGTCCTGCCAGAGTAGCTGCTCGTTATGGTTTTTAATTTTATTTGTATGTGCAGCTTTGTAACTGCAAACAAAATTAAAACAGATTTCAATCCCCTCCCCAAAATCACAGTGTGGTTGGATTCAGATAACACAACAAGCCAGGTTGTTTTTTTACAACCATTTTTTACATGGTGGTCTGTTGAGTTGTCTGAACCCAGTCATGGTATTTCACCATGATAAGTCTGGTCTTTAGAAATCATAAGAAACAACAGTTCATTCTATGGTTTCTCTGTACCACCATGGCTTGTTGCATTGTCCAAATCCAAGATCATGGTTTCCACATTCCTGTATGTAACTACCACAAAGTGCTCTGGAAAGAGTGGCAACTGCAGGAGTTGCTCCAGCCATCTGGCCTCTGTGTGCAGACCAATGAGGAAGAGGCAGACCAAATGGGGGGGATTGAATTTCAGGCACAGTGGCTGATGGGTTACATGCCAAAAGTGGGAGGACTAAGCAGCAAGGATGGAAACCATGTTGATATAGGAACCACTTGATCACCTGTCAGGTAAATCATGGAAACACACACACACACACACCACGGTGACCACACAGTTGCTTGTTGTGCTGTGTGAACACAGGTTCTGGTTGCAAGATGCAAACTTAACAGATGAAAGTGCAATCTTGTTTATGCCTATTCAGAAGTAAACCCCACTGAGTACAAAAACACTTACTCCCAGGTAGGTATACAGAAGATTGCAGCTTAAAGTTCCAGTGCAGAAAATGGGAAGTGATTAGATAACAGCAATTCAGAAATGCTACAAAGAATGCATAGGAAGCATTTGATCAGCCAGAAGGAAGCTTCTAATTAAGGGACCATTACGGGGAGAAAGGTGGCTTTCAGGCCCTGATCAGGGGGCAGTTGCCTCCCCAGCAAGCAATTTTTTTTAATTTTTACAGCTGCTGTGTGTGTAAATCATCTGCTGTGAACTGCCCCCTGCCCCCACACTCCCTGGATTTGGGTCTGCAGCCTTTGCTGAACTGGACATACTTCTGAGGGCACCTGCAGTGAGATCTTGCCCATGGAGCTCCATTCACAAAAGTTGCCTCAATCCAGTTCTGGGTGATTCCATTCCCCTCCAACTATCACTTGTCACACATACAGTCTAGGGTCCAGGTGATTCCCAAGCCCACTGCAAAGGCTTTTTGGGATTTCAGGGGACTACAGGGCAGGGAAGAGGAGTAGAAAAGTCTCTAACTTCTTTCTGCTCACAGGAGGCAGGTCAGTAAATTGGACAGGTGTCATATTTTCCCATGCATTTTAAAAACTATTTTTGCAGTTCATCACATACATGGAGTCTAAGGGGATTTAAGGTTTAACAGATACAAGTTAACACAGGTTAAGAGCTAAATGTGGAACATTTCTTACTTTGAATGGCCCCTTGTGCCCAGCCGCCTTGTGGTGAGAAGAGGAAATTTCTGACGAATGGTCTAAAGTGAAATGTCAGATATTAAAAATCTGGAATCATTAAGCTCAAAAAGCAATATTGATAAAAGGACAAACATATCTGAACATGTTTATATCTGTTCACAGTAGGTGACATCAATGTCATTGTTAGACTTTTTTAAGTAGTAAAAAACCTCTAAATATCTGGATTCTCTATGTAGATCCATAACAATTTAACATGCCATGTCAAGGTGAGTCTATGCAGTGCTCTCATTTTACCCGTGCTTCTCATTTTGAAGTGCTTTCTCTAGAAGCAAACATGACAAAACTGACATACTTTGGACACATCATGAGAAGGCAAGACTCACTGGAGAAGACACCCATGCCAAGGAAAGTTGAGGGCAGAAGAGAAGGAAGACCAAATAAGAGATGGATTGACTCTAGAAAGGAAGCCACAGCCTTGAATTTAGAGCAGCTAAGTAGGACTGTCATGGATAGGACATTTTGGAGGGCTCTCATTCATAGGGTTGCCAGAAGCCATAGAAGATTTGACAGTACATAACACATTTTAATTGATTCAATTTAATTGATATTTAATTCATCACATTTTAACAAGCAAAAAGGAAGTGCTGATTTACTGGTCAACACATTTTTGTAAAGTATATTACTTTTTAATACGATTATTTATATAAGCAGCACATGGCAGGCACAACTGGAGAAGCAGGATTCCCTCTTTACTCACACAAGAATGGAATGCCTCTTCTAAGATTGTGACACAGGCACAAACCATCTAAATCCAAAGGAAGACTTCCCCCTGCAAACTATTATTTCAGTCATGCATAATCGACGTATTAATCAATCAATTGATTAACCAGTGCAGATGCCTATAATCAGATTTTCCAATTGTATGAAATGAGGGGAAACATAATTGTAACTTGTCTGAGACAATTGGTGAAAAAAATGTGGCCATGAGGAGTTCAGGATTCAAGCTAGCCATGCCTTTTTCCAGAAGACTATGCTCTCACCCATGTTTTCTCTTCCCTGGTTTTCCACCCCGTTCCCCATCTACACCCTGACTATTCATTCCACACCCTGTGTAATTAAGCACGCTCATTCCATACCGCACCCTTGGGTGCTCCCTTATGATTTACCTAAATAATTGATTTCTGCAAACTTTGGGGTTTCTCTAAGCATCATGACACCTTTCTCTGCAACATGGATGCATTCTTGGAGAGTGAGTATATGCAGCTCCAAGACTGTTCAATTTTCTCTGTTAAACATTCCCAAAGGAAAATGAGAACGAGCTGCATGAGTCAAACTGTATTTTGAGAGATGCAAGGGAACAGGACCAAATATTTGGAGCAGGGTTGCTCCAAATAAAGAAGGGTGATTTTTAGAAGGGTGATAAAGAAGAAGCTTATCGACCTTGCAAACCTCTATCAGTTTAGATGTTGTGGACGCCCCAAAGCATCCTGGAAATTCACAGTTTGATAAGGATACAAAGAATTCTGAGCTCAGTCATAGGGTTAGAGTTCTCAAGCTTGGGTGCAACTGAAATCAGTGGGATTGCTAACATCCAGAGATAAAAGGGGTATTTCACACAGAATGCCTGGTGTTTTTTAATTTTCTACATTTCCTACACCATGGCATTTGAAGATAAAACATATTAACTTAAAATTCACATTTGATTTTTAAAAGGGTCTCCTTCCACTTTGGACAAGAGCCATGCAATATTGATCAATGTTCCAAACATGACCAATGGGTATTTTCAGCATTGTGTATGCAACTCTTCTGGAAACACTGGCAAGACATTTGTATTATATTTGTAGTCTAGATCTTCTCCAGAAGTAATGTGGATAGTGGTAGCACTCTTTGGTTTTAAAACAAGTTTATCTGGCTTGGCAAAACAATTGAAGCATGTGTTGATACTGGGGAGTTCCACCAGCATTTAAGCTGTTTTTAAAGACACCCCTTGAAATTGACTTTTGCAAGGGGACAGCTCAGTGTGAGACATATTGACAGAAGTTCCTGCCCCGTACAAGACCAGAAGTCCAACAACAGAAGAAATTCTGGAGCCAGAATTCTGGAAAAGCAAGCAGCTAAGTGAAAAAAAGACAATCCCACTCTTTCCAAAGTTGGAAGAGGAAGCAATGCAAGTTGTTTTACCAAAAAGAAAAAGAAAAACCGTTTAAGGTTAATTCTTTCCAATTGGTAATGAAGCCATTTAATATCATAGGGAGAAGAGATTCTGATTTTCATTAAACTAATGTGTTTCAGCTCTTCGGGGAAATTGCAAGAGATCATGGGTGTTCTTTAAAGAGCTGATCTCTGAAGCTTTCTTGGTGTTTAGTTTCAGTAGTTCCTAATAGTTCGAATTTAATTTGGAAAGCCCACCTCTCACATTGATTAAATAATTTCAGCATTAAAGCATGAGTGGGTGGTTACAGGTAGGAAGAAAATATCATCTTGCAATCCTATCCTTTCAACCTTTCATTAACCGGTCCTTGTTCTCACAGTAGTTAGTGCAGAAGGTACATTCCTGCCAACTTTGATAACTCCACCACTCTCTTTCCCATATGTTGTTGCCTCTGGAAGTGAAATGTTCCATCTCATCTGCTGCAGATCCCAGGCATTTAGTACTGTTCTTGCTCAATACCATGTTACCAAACACAAAGAGCCCTGAGTATATCCCACTAGTAGCTGGACTTAAAATCACCTTTCCGTTATTGAGGGCGTTTTCAGGTCTGTTTTCATGAAACTACTGAGAGATTTAGGCATATGACACTTGAAGGAAGTGTAGGAAATGGTTTTGTTCTATTTACCTTCCCAAAGGTTGCTGCACAGGCAGGTTCAAGTTTCTCCTTCCTGCAGAAGTCTAGGTAGTGTGCATAAAGGATGCACCTAGGCAAACAAACTCCTTCACATACAATATAATTCTCCTCCAGCCTGAAGATAAAAAAGCCAACAATATACAGTATGCATTGCTATCTTAATTCCTAATTTCTCCACCATTTTTAATTCATTGGTTCAGAATTTTAAGGAATACTTTGTGCCAATAAGAACTCCAATACATTATCCTAATATTTTTTTAGCGCTGCAGAATCCAACAGTCTGATCCTAAAAATTCCCAATCTAATTAGTGACAAAGGATTATTTATTTCTCTGACATATACTATTTTTTCCTATGGGCTCAGGGTGACTTATGGAATGTTAATACTCTGTCCCCTGTGGATTCACAAAATAAGAAAATCAAATGCTTTAGAGAAAAAAAGAGGCCAAATGAAAAAGCATACTGTAAATATAACAGCTATTTTAAAAAACAAACAAGCAAACCCTTAGCCAAAATATCCTCACCACACTGTAAATAACCAGTCCAAAATTTCCATCCATAGAACAAGGCTTTGTGCAGGCAAATATCCACTAAGTGCCTCCTTAATAAAGAGGTTGACTGATGATTTCTTCTAATTTTGCCCAGGAGGGAGAGGAATCTTCTTGTGCCTAAGGGCTGTGACAGCCCAGAAATGTGTGTTGCCAGATTTTGTCAAACCTATTTTCCCTACTTTTCTTCAGCAACTCATTTATTTATTTATTTGGGATATTTCTAGCCTGTCCAATCACTTTCGTCTCTGGACGGCTCACTTCCATTTCTGCAATGACGTCACAGAAGACCCTAAATCGAGTTGGGGTGACTATATTAAGGGGGAAAGGTTATCCCTTTTCACTTACTTACTTACTTACTTATTTAAAGTAAGTAAGCTTTGTAATGTATGCCACAATGACAACGTGATTGTTCCTTGAACAACCCGAATGTAGTAGATAATCTGGGTGGTTTCTAGACTTAAACATAAGAAGAGCCATACTGGATCAGCCCAAGGGACCAAGAGCCAGTGTGGTGCGGTGGTTCAAGTGCTGGACTGGAGACCTGGGAGACGTGGTTCTAGTCCCCACTCAGCCAGGGGCCCACTGGGTAACTTCAGGCCAGTCACAGACTCTCCGCTCCATCTACTACAGAGAGTTGTTTTTGCCAGGATAAAATGGAGCCCTGTGAGCCACCTCAGGTTCCTCACAAGATGGAAAAGGCAGGATATGAATGCATTGTCCTTGTCATCCCCTAGCCCAACATTCTGTTCATATCGTTGTCAACCAGCTGCCCATGGGAAAGCTGCAGGCAGGACAGGAGTACAACAGCATCCTCCTGCCCATGTTCCCCAGCTGCTGGTGTATTTAGATACACCACCCCTGATTCTGGAGAACTCTGAGATAGCCTAAGCTTCTCAACAAAAGAATTTGGGATAGCCGATCATATTGCTTAACAGCTGATGCTGGGATGGTTAACAATATCATACAGAGCTTCAGTTGGCAACTGGTTTTTCTGATAGCCGCTCTGAAATGGGGGGGGGGGGGGGGGGGGTGTTAAGGATGCAGGAATCAGCACCTCACCTTCCAGCTGTTCCCACAGTAGCCTGCCACCTTGCTTTCTTTATGTGGGAGGAACAAGGGGACATTTTGTCCATTCATCTTTTGCCTCTAGGTTGATGGGCCAGGGGTGTCTAGTCACTTATGCCCTTTGCAAAGAGATGGGTTCTGGCTGTGTAATGTCAATGCTAAATTCATAGGATGATCATGGAAAAGCACCTTTCAGGATATATATCCCAGCTGCTTACATCAAAAGGATTAGAGAGTAACATTGAACCTTCAGTGACATTGATATCATACTGACATTGCATGGGATTTTGCTGAAGGCAAGAGTGCTTGGCAGATAAAAGAATTTATACTCTTCTCTGCCCAGTTCCCTGAGCATCTTTGGGTCTCTGGTAACATTTTAAAGCAGTCTTCCCAAACCAGGCACCATCCAGATGTTTTATTCTACAGCTTCCATCAGGTCCAGCCAAGATGCCCTGATTATAGGGGGATTATAGGAACTGCAGTCCAAAATATCTGAAGGGTACCAGGTTGATGAAGGCAGTTTGAGATGTTTGGACCAAGGAGCTGGACTGGACACAAAACTTTGATGAATCAATGCACTTATAGCTCATTCCAAACAGTTAATAGTTCAGTAAAGTGATATCATGGATCAATATATGCAGAGTAAGAAATTGACCCAACTTCCTAAAGCATTGGCATGCAGTATTTGCAAAAGTGTGTTTGTGCGTGCATGTGTGTGTCTAATCCTATGCAAGTTGGGACAGAAAAAAGGCCTACAATTCCCAGCATGCCCCATCCTGGTGGTGGTGGTTGTTGTTTTGTCTAAACTTGCATAGACTGTACTTAGATTTCAGTTTATTTCATGAGAGATTTCATACAGCCTGCTCAAGGAAAATGTGAACCCAAGCAGATTTTGCTTATTCTATGAATCTACCTGTTGGTGGTTTTCTGCCCATGAAAATAAAGAAAAATAAATGTAGCAGGTAAAGGTACACTGAATCTGCACTGTGGGCTGGTTAACAAGCTTACCATTGCAGGGTGAGCTGTGTCTGCTTCTTTTTATCCTTCATAATCTGAGTGATAGTTTTCTTTGGAGGCAAATGTTTGCTGAGAGATTTTATCTTGTTTTCAGGAGTCTCTCCATCCTCCTCTTCTGCAGAAAGGGATTCACTGCTAAAATGAATTTCTGAGTGCAAGGGGGTTTGAAAACAAAATACAAAAAATCAAAATGAACTGTGAAGTGTTGTCCTATGTCTGCCTGTCTCTTTTGAGTGACTAGATGTATACTTGGAAAGATATACACACTTTCAGACTTGGATTTCCTTGAGAGAAGTGTCTTTCCTGAGGCAAACGGAAGTTATGCTGACTGGAGAAGTGCAAGACCAGATTGGTAGGTAGGTAAAAATTAAAAATAAAACCCTTCATATATGCTGTTGTTCCACTATGTATTAAAAACTTCCCATGGCTGTTTACCTTTAAAAGAAATAATGTTGGGTTTTGCCTTTAAAGTGTGTTGTGTGGCTAGTGAAGCTGCAAAGAAAATCACCAGGTAAAACTTTCTCCACATTTTATGCTGGCAAAAGTTAATCCTGGCTGAACTGTGTAGGTGGGAGGAGACTGCGAAAGAGTAAGCAAAAAGAATGCCTGATGAACTGAGAATGTGAATATTACCAAAGCAAACAAAAGTTGGTCCAGTAAATGTTGCTCTTTTAGCTATTTTATTCATCTCTCACATACATAGACAAACTGTAGAATTTTGGGTATCGCCTCTATATAATCTTACACCAGTGGAAATTAAACCAAATGTGTACATACATAGATGGATGCCATAAATAATTTTGTGCTGTTTGTGAATGTGCAGACTTCTGCCCTATCAAACTCTGTGCTGCTAAAAGATTATAGAATAAGTAGCTAGAGATGTGACTGATGCAAAGGTCTGCATAGCTGTAAATTCGGGGGGGGGGGGGCACACAAATGCAGGGAATTTACATTCCAGTCCAGTGTGTGTTTACTTGGAAGTAAGTGCCACTGAGCTGAGTGATACTTACTCCTCAATGCTTAGGTCAGATAAGTAGACAAGCCAACAGAGGCAAAATGGGATCATTAGGAAAATGAGGAATTCAGTGTAACTGAAAGCCTGCGTACTTTTCCTCAGCAACTCCCAAAACGTATGTTAGCTAAAACCAAAGATGATGGGCTTCCCATCCTGTAATCTAGTGTCAACCAGTTTGCAGGACAAGCTACATTATTTGTCACTTTCACTTTTTACTTTGATGTAATATAAATAACGCGACAAAATGGAAAGGCAATTCTTTGGGGGGAAAGGTTCTTGCTGCGGTGGATGCGGACCCACCGCATTTAAAACGTCAGTATCTCAGAGATATGTTTAGATAAACGGCTTCATTTGTGTTTCCCACAACAGAACTCGGCCCCAGCCTCTGTTTCCATTGTCCAGCCTCGAAAGCAACACATAACAAACGAGGAAATTAGCAATGTCCCGGAGCAGGTGCAAAGTGCCCTCGCCTGGTCCAGGACCCAGCGCGCCCGCGCATGCGCCTGCGGGAGCGGCCGCTTGGTCCACCCAGCGCAGTACTGAAGGCGGCGGCTCTCCGGAGCTTCAGGCTGGTCCTTTCCTCGTCGTGCCTGTGGATGCCCGGGGTCGCCCCTGCGCCTGTCTGCACGCCAAGCAGGTGCTCGCCTGCTGCCCCACCGAGCCGCCCCCCACCCGGGCTTCACAGGCTTTGAGCAGGCCCGTGGCAGCGAGGGCGACGGGAGTCCTGCGGAACTTTCAGCCCGCGGAGGCGAGCCTGAGTCCGCATCCCGCTCCGGAAACGCGGGCAGGACGATTTGCAGGCCAGCGGAGGTCGCCTCGCCACCCCAGGCATCCCGAGGCCGGTTGCGAGTTCGCGCGTCTCCCGTTCAAGAAATCACGCGCTACGGGGCCACGCAGCAGGTGCCTCCGGGGGAGGGGGAGACGCGCTTCTCGCGGAGCCCGCCCGCGCCCCCAAACTGTCTCTCCTCCCCGCGCAATGGAGCCGAGCTCTGCCCCTTCGGCTGCCCGTCTGAGGCCGCCCCCTCACCTGCCTTGATCCCCGCGCGGAGCTCCGGCTCCCGGTGGCCAACGCGCAGCGCGCTGGCCGGGGGCAGCGCCTCTCCGCCGGCCGAAGCCCGGAGCAAGCCTTTGGTCAGCAGCTCCGAGTAGCAGTCGCCCTCCTCCTCCTCCTCGTCGTCGTCGTCGTCGTCCTCGCCCTCCTGCTGCGCCTCCTCCTGGAGCTGGCCGGGCTCGAAGGCGCTGTCGCCCCTGGCCGGGAATCTGGCCATCGCCGCCGCCAGCTTCAGGGCGCCCCGTCCTCCCCGTCCATGGGGCGTCGCGGGCGGCGCAAGGCAGACGAGAGCGGGGCTCGGCGCCCGGCACTGGCCTCCCTGCTCCGCGACCACAGGCTGAGGGAGAGGACGCGACGCCGGGCGGGCGGGCGCGCAGGGGGACGCGTCCAGGATCAGAGCCGAAGAGGCGGGCGCGCTCCAGGCAGGCTTGCTGCGGGAGAGGAGGTGGTCCGCCGCGAACAAGCCGCTCGCCCCGAGATCACTGCCGGGCTGGGCAGAAAGGAAAGCCCTACCCACCGCCCGTCGACGGGGGTTCTGCCCCACCGCGACCGATGTGCTAGGCGCCCCCTCCCCCGCCCCGTCCACGCCCTCGCCCTCCTTGCTCCCTGGAAACGCTTTTCTCAGCTCAGCTCCAGCAGCCCCGTCAGACTCCTGGAAAGTCTTGGCAGCGATGTGCATCTCTTTTGTGCATGTGCAGAGTGGCGTTCTGGGCTGCAGAGTTGCTCTGGTAGGTTCTCTCAAAGCTGGGTACCAAGAACAGCAGAGGCTGTGATTTACAAGCAGGAGCTCAGCCATCGCTCTCATAGCAACAGGCTCGAATCACAGTACACGAGTTGACACTGGATCTTTCATTTTTACAAAAATACTGTGGAATGGGTGCAGCTCCAAGACACCCCTTATAGATGAGACAGAGAGGGATATAGTATTTCTTCAGTCAAAGTGAGAGGCATTGACCACCTACAATGATGTGCACTGCCAGTTCACAGTAGAAATGACAGTACCACCCCTGACAGTACCATTGCAGTCTGCTTGTGTTTGTGTGACCATTTTCAGGGTGCTTGGAGGGGTTGCTATGGGAAGGAAGAGGAGGCAGGGAAGTTCTCCTCCAACAGCCCAGTTTCATGTGCCTAAATTTTGGTTCCAACCATCAACAAAACTCACCACCTACTCCTCCCTGCATGTGGAAATCTAAAACTGGACTAATGGGTATGAACTGCCCATATGCAGACATCTTTTAAAAAGATGGGCATACAGTATATTGCACAATCCAGAAAGAATCGGCATGGGCTTTTCCTGACTGTTTGAATTGGCTTGTAGAAGATTTCATCCAAATGCACAATCACATAGACACTCTCTTGCCATTATAAGACCAGAAGGAATGAGGGAATCAGGAAGCTCACTTTGCTGAAGCTCTTCTTTCTCCTTGTTGCAAGTCAGGATCGTCTCCCCGCTCCTGACCTGCTAAGGATCCTTCCTGACTAGTGGGTGCCAACAACACAGAGCAGACACACCATACATACCAGAATGCCTGCAGGGAAAAGGTAGGTCCCGTTCACAGAGGGGAGAGCCATAAAACCTGTTGGGTCATTAGCACAGCCCGGAACTCTTTCCAACCTGACCTCAGACTCTGGCAATCCATTAGAAACTGACCATGAGGTGAAACTGATCAAATCTCCCCTGGAGCATTTAAGGTAGATTCTAATTCCTCCATTCATTGCTGAGTTCCATTTCACTTCATGTCTGTACTGCCCAATTGCTGCACAGTTAAAACTACAACTCAAACTGCTATATAATAAAAAACATAAATCTTTAATGCACCCAGTCGCCCAGTTATGACTTTCCAAGTTAAGAACAACCCCTACTTACGAACAAGCAAACCTGGAAGACCTGCTTTGTCCTTGAGTGGCAGGCATCCACCTGCGGGCCGTGAGTGGCAGATGGCAAGCAGCAAGAGGGCACCCGCAGATGGCAGACAGGAGAGGAAGGAAGGGACGAGGAAGGGATGACGAGCAAGGGAAGGAAGGAGGGAAAGGGGAGGTGGGGAAGCAGTGAATGGCGAAGTTGGAACTAGTTCCATGGTGGCAGCAGAGCTAAAGTAGTTTTTCATGCTCATGACAACAAGCATATCCAAGCCAATGTGTTTCGGATCACATGCAGCTAGTGTTGCCTACTGTAACTTGTGCTGTGCTTGGTTTGTAACCATGCCTCCAAAGCATAAATCTGATGCAAATGCAGGTGATGCATCAACGAAAAGAAAAACAATCACAATCAAAGCTAAAATGGAAATAATAAAGCAAGATGCTATCAGTCATTGGGAAAGCATTAGGCTTTAGTCATTCAACAACTGGATTCTCTTTCTCTCTTCAGTACCTGTAGTTACTTTGTTATTACTATATTGTTATCATTATTACAATGTTGTATTGTGTTTAAGATGTTTTAGTGCATATGAAAGTGTTTCTTAAATGTTTTACATGTTTTTTACATACAAATTCAACTTGAAGACAAATAAAAGCCAAAGCCCAATAAAACAGAGGTGCAGAACCTCTGAACTAATCCAGATCATGGGGTATTCCAGACCGGCCTGTAGAGCCTGTTAGGGTGGTCATAAGCTCTAAGTCCCTACCCTGGAGGAATTCCCTTGGAGCATATCCCCTCACTGCAATGTCTGATCTGAGAGTGGGGATAACAGGGGTTCCCCTCCTGGCCTCTGCCAGCTGCAGAACCCCTGGTCTTAGCTCAGACTGGAGACAGCAGTGGCGGGACGAGGGCAGTGGCATTCGCCCTGGGCAAGTGGCCACTTTCCCTGGAGCATGTGGGTGGGTCCTACAGTCCCTGTCCCTGCTGCTGACTCTAACTGGAGATCGGAGAGGGCAGTGGGAGTGAAGAGCAGTGATGCTCCTCTGCTTAGTCTGCCCCACCTGCTTCGCGCAATGCAGAAAGGAAGCAGGGTACACAAGGCAGTTGAGTGCCCTTCTCTTCTATCAAAGTAGTGAAGGGGACATGTGAAGATGTTTCGGCAAGGGGCGGCATAGAAATGTTTTAATAAATAAATAAATAAAAAGATGGGGTAGCGCCAACCCAGTGTCCACAGCTCCCCATCAGAGGAGTGAATGTCTGGCTTGACTTTGTGTACAACACTTACCTAACCAGGAAAGTCTGGGAGATCCATCCAGCACTTGGGCTAGGAGCAAATGGCCTCTAACACGCGTGGCTACATCACCTGAGATCTGCTAAGGGGGGTCCTGCAGCAGAACAGCAGACACCGAAAGCCCTATCTTGTGCCATCAAGGGAGAGCCACTGTAGCGTAATGGTTAGGAGTGCTGGCTCAGGGGACCCAGGTTCTAGTCTCCACTACACATGTGGCATGTTTGAACCATCAGAATAAGCCCCCATGCATATTTCAATCCAGGCATTTTGTTTATTTATTTATTTATTAAAACATTTTTATGCCGCCCCATTCGCCGAAGCCTCAGGGCGGCTTACAACAAATAAGTTAAATAACATTTTAAAATATATACATTAAAATAAATTACAAATATACAATATAAAATGTGCTGGACACATGATGGACGCAAGCTATGTAATCTGCTCTTAGACACGGCTCGTCTTACTGTCTGTGCAGGTTTGTTGGAGGAAGAAATGACACTCTAATAACCCATACACTGTTGTAAGTTTACTGGAGTGTGATGTCTCCCTCCAAGAAGCCCTACCACCCAAGTTCCGCCTATGTGACAAATTGTGCCAGGTAATTATGGAAAGTGTGTCACCCAGTCAGCACCACCATTGAAATAAGCCACTTGCATGAATGAGATCGATGTATGATGTAGCATGCATGGCCCCCACATACACTACACACAGTGAATTCTAGAAAATAAGTGATATTAATTGCGCATTATATTTAGCTTGTGAAGAAATTTAGAAAATGGAATAGAGATTTAGAAGCGCCAGTCCAGAGGCCAAAACCAGCACTCTGGAGTCCTCCAGGGGGCCGCCTCTGGTCCTTGGGCCACTCTGATTGTTTGGTGGTTTCCTGGTTTTTCGGTAGTTTTTTCTCATTCTAAAGGCTGGCTTGCTTAAGGCCTGTTGTTGTTTTTATATGTCATCAAGTTGTTTCCAAGTTATGGCAACCCTATGCATGAAAGCCCTCCATGACAGCCCTGCTCAGCTCTCATAAATTCCAGGCTGTGGCTTCCCTAATGGAGTCAATCCATCTAATATTTGGTCTTCCTTTCCTTCTGCTTTTAACTTTCCCAAGCATGATTGTCTTCTTCAGCGAGTTTTGCTTTCTCATGATGTGCCCATGACAGCCTCAGTTTAGTCATTTTTGCTTCTAGGAAAAGCTCTGGCTTGATTTGATCCAGGACAGACTTGTTCATCTTAGGTTTAATAACTGGTAATAAGAGCTTTGAGTTATAATATGCTTGTAGTTTAGGCCTTTTGCTTCCACTCCATTTCTAGAATATTCACAAGATTTACAAACTTTTACCACCCTCATCTTAGTGATACGCTGCATCCTTTGGGGCTGATGAAAAGCTCGTGTAGAATGACTGAAAAGGAACTATGGGCAACATGCAACACTATGTGTACAGCCTGAAACACAACAAGCACCAGGAAGATATTGCCCGTGTGTCTGTGGAGCTTGGAAGGGTGCTGTTGCTTTCCAGCTTCCATTTAAAAAAAAATCGCTAACCTTGACAGAACCCAAAATGCAATGTTAAATGCATGGGCATTCTTCTGCCCAGTTCTTTTGTGGATAATTAGCCTGCTTTCCTTTAAATGTTAAGCCAGTGAATGAATTCATAGCTATGACTGATTCACCCATTTCTGAGAAGGAACTGCCCATCTTATTTTTAAGACTTCCTAAATGAGGTTTTTGCTGTTTTTTTAGTTTTTCCTTTTGGAGAAGTGACTGCTGCCTGACTGAAAACTATTAAGAAATTGGGGGTTTTAGTGTAGCTGTGTTTGGGCAGTTCTGTGTCCACCAAAAAACAAAGGAAAGTGCCAATGATCTTTCTAAATCAGGTCTTATTTCATTAGAAAAGGAAGCTCCCTGCTTTCCAAGTTTGAAATAGTTTTAAAACACTACCAGGCTAATGCAGATATCATTATTATACCTACATTTTGGGCGGCGGAGGACGTGGTGCAGTTAAGAGGGAGAAAAAGAGGGTTGTGCCAACCCAGCAAAATACTTCAGTGCTATTATACACGGCTTGCTTGAGGGAGTTAGAATATTGCACTGCAATATAGCACTCGCCTGTTGGGATTTCTAAGGAAAATGAAGTTGATTGTTGCAGAAGTGCAATTAATTAAGGGTGGAAGGGGATTAAGGTTGCCGTGTGGGGAAACTTGAGGGTTTCGGCCATGGGTAGAAAGACATCATCCAGGCACTAATATTGTTCTGGTGATAAGCAGCACATCTAGGGATGGGGAATTGATGAGAAGGGGGACAGGGGGTGCTTCTACAAGAGGATGGGAGTTGCCCTATATTGAGCCAAACCAGTGATCAGTCTAGCCTGGTATTGTTAACACTGACTGGCAGCAGCTCTCTGGCATTTCAGGCAGGATGTTTTCCTAGTCCTCCTGGAGATGCCAGAGATTGAACTAGGGATGTTCTGCACTTGTCCTACTACCGACATGTGGTCCTTCCACAAGGAGAGATTTCCAGGTGAACCTCAAAGGGGAAAGCTTCTTCACAGAAGCACTGTGGGTGACAGTAACTGGATGATACACTTTTTAGTACTGAGAGCATGCTATTTTGCCCCAGACCAAAATGCTCAAGGTGATCTAGAGATGT